AATGTGAAACCATGGGGATCCATGGCTAAACTCACCCCAGACACCCTCAGACCGGGATATCGCCCTCCTCCTGACAGTTCTTGGGCTTTCTAATCCCTTTCGTGTCTCGGAGCTGCCCGCACACCTCACCTCACCGAGGGACGCGGTGTCACTCCATTACAACCGCGTGAGGCTCGCAGAAGCATCGCTGTACACACAGCCCGTCCTGTACACACAGCCCGTCCTGCACACACAGCCCGTCCTGTACACACAGCACGTCCTGTACACACAGCCCGTCCTGTACACACAGCCCCTCGGTCCCTGGCCCGGGGGAGCCCCGGCTCAGCCCGCTCGTCCCCCACAGCCCCCCGGCAGCCCCGGCTCAGCCCCCCCGGCTCTGCACACACGCCCCACTCGCAACGGGCGGCGCGCTGGGGCCGCGGCACGCCGGCGCTGTCCCCCAGCTGCAGTTTCAGCCGCCCCGTGATGGCGAAAGGACAAAAAGCTGAGGAAAACAAACTTTTTTCTTTCTTTTTTTTTTTTCTTTTAAACCTCTTTCACTCCGCCCCTCCTTCCCCCCCGGCCCCCCTTTTGTGTTCTCACTTTCGGTATTAAAGGGCCATGCCTTGAAAAATAATCCTGACAAACCTTTTTTAATGTGATGTTTTTCATACCACATATGAATTACTTTACTTTTGCCTGTGTGGGCACAGGGAAAGAAAAGTTTTCTTCCTTATTTTTTTTTTTGCCTTCAGACAGCTGATCGATGAGACTGAGAAATGCTGAATTAATGCTGAATGTTGCTATTTTGCTGTTTTGCTTACGATACCTTGGCATCCCTTCTAATTGTCCCATACCCATATACTGTCTAAACTCCCAGTATAATGGAGGAGCCAAAGAGAAAGACTCATACAATCACAGAATGGTTTGGATTGGAAGGGACCTTAAAGATCATCTTGTTCCTGCCCCCCACCATGGGCAGGGACACCTTCCACCAGACCAAGTTCCTCCAAGCCCCTACCAACCCGGCCTTGAACAGTTCTAGGGACGGGGCATCCACAGCTTCTCTGGGCAATCTCTGCCAGCCCCTCACTGGCTTCTGCACTGATATATCCTGCATTAGGCAACATAAAAAATAAATTCAAGACTACTGGCTGCCCCATCTCCTCCAGCCATTGAGTGTTTTACATTTTTCTTGGGTATGAATGTGCATTTGGAACAAACAATATTCATGGCCCTGATGCTTTTCTCATGATGTCTTAAATATAGGCTTAGTACAGAAAGGCAGAAATATTTCCAGAATGTTTTTTTTCCTTATATATTCTGAAAATAAAATTATTCACTTTCAGTTTTTTAACATAGAGGTAAAATGTGACCAAAAGTAGTGCAATATTCAATTTAAATAGAAAAGGAAGAAAAACTTCAGATCATAAAATTCAGCTCCCAGATCATAGTTCCCATACTCAGTAGGATGTAATTGCTGTTAATTAGGAAAAATGACACCTACACCCTTGGCAAGGCTGGGGAGAGATGCTCAAGGATGACAGAATTAAAGCTGCGTTTGGGAGAAAATTCAGGATCAGTGTTGACACTGCCTTTGTGTGAAGTCCAGCAGCTCACTGTTTCACTGTTTCACAGCATGCTTTCTGTTGGAACTCATCCTCACCTCACCTCTGTATGTGCCCCAGAGTGCTACAGCACTCTCAAGGCATGTAAGTCCTCAGAGAGGTACCTAAAGCACCTTCTGCCTGCCAAACCTCCTTTCCTGTGTGCACTCACCTCTTCCTCGCAGCTCCATGTGTGCAGCTATCTGCCTTGGGCAGAGCTTTGGCCATTTGGGGATTTGGCCATCAGGGGAAGAAAGCAAGCTAGTGCTTTTCCAAACTATCCATTCACTTCAGCTGAGTAAACAGATTAAGGAAGTTTATTCTCCACAAGCTGGAAGGATAGTTGGAATTCTCTCTTCCAGAATGCATCTGCTAGAGAGCCCTCACAGAGGTCTGCTGCCCGAGAATCAGCTTCTGGGGTCAAGGGGAGATGTCTCTGCAAAACGCTACGGGCTTTTTGTGTGGCACAGGTTGGCACTGAAAATAGAATTGCCAGCTCCAGAACTTAAACGTATGGTTTCCCACACTGAACTTCTTTAGTTCTGTGGATTTGATGGAGGTTTCTTCCTGTTTGCAAGAAAAAGGCCGTGGGAACACAGTACAGCAAATGGCATGTGAATAAATTTCTCCTCCCACAGGAACACAATTTGCATGTACATCTGTCTGTTTGGACAGTGATCTTGAGTGTAAACCAAAATTCATCTCTGCTTTCACATCAGAGGATCTGAATATGATGCACCTCTGGAAAAGCACTCTGTAAGGTTTCCTGAGAGGTAGCAAATGTGTGGGAAAAGTAGGTGAAAAGAGGAGGTTATCAGTCAACAAACCTGCATATTTCCTTGGGAAGGCTGGTATAATTAAAGATTGTGAACCAGGATTTAAATAGGTGATTCTCACCTCAATTTTATCTCTATATTCCAAATGTCAGATGAAAAATGTATGGCCTGATAATCAAGCTGTAATAGAGGCATTGCAAGCAATTTAATTATTTAGCAAAGGAAGGATAAAAAATAGTTATTTGACTGAAGCACTAATGGAATTTTTAAGTTTTAATAAATAAATATTTACAATCAAAGTTGGTTAGTGTTTGATAAGTAAACAATCCTACAATCAGAGTAGTACAAAGCTAAGTAATTTATTTATTCCTAAAGTTAAAATTAAAAGTCCTTCAATATTGCATGAATAAATTCTGATGTTTCTTTTCTGGTTTACATAAGAGACTTGAAAGAAATTCCAGCTGTGACAAATTTAAATTGGATATACTGAGTAGGTATAAATGCACACAGACGAGTGCAATGCTTCATTGTTTAACTAAACAAACACCTCATTTTGGGATATGTGAATTCTTGGTAATAATTCTTTGTGGTCTGCTGCTGTTCTCAGGTTTCCCACCCCTCACTGTGTGTCCAGCATTGCCATCTGCTGCAAGTCAAGCAGTGGCTTGCATAGGTGAGAATTTTCCAGGTTTTATTTTGCATCCAGCTTCTTTCAAATGCTCAGCCTGCACATGAATATAATGAGAGGGTCACAAAACATTGGTGTTTGAATCCAAAATCATGTCTCCAAACTCCTGGGCATCCACTGCCTATTTCAGAAAATGCCCCGCATTCCATAGTACATTCAGGAGCAAAGCTCCCTCGATTACACAAACACAGGCAAGACTGCTGGCTTTGAAGGGAAGCTGTTACAATATGAATGGAATAATAAAATATTCCTTCAGCCAAAGGAAGAAAAAGAAGGACTTGGCACCCCATTGAGACGATACAGCACTGCCAGTGTGGTTTCTTCAGACAACTGTAATGACATTGTCTGGCTGCCTCTCAGACCTCCTTTTAACAGTTTGTTTAACCCTTTGACCAATTTCAACCAAACTCTGTGGGAAAGCAGAGCTCCTCAAGAAATGAAAGTCAGTACAAGTTTAGTGTGGACAGGGGCAAGGAAGATGAAAGCATTTGCCCTCTTGGAGGGAAGGGATTATGTGTGAGTGTGGGAGCTGGGCAGGTCAGAGGTAGCCTTGGGTTAGAACAAATGCTGCCACTTGCCTGATTCCTGCTCTGGGGGTGTGGGGAGAGATGAGGATGGTGTGTGCAATGGGGAGCGTTGCAACTCAACATTCCTTGGGAGCACATATAGACATGAACTGGAGTTACCGGGGTCAGAGTGGGCATAGAAAGGGCAGCACTTGCTAGGAACCCCAAACTCCTTCATTGTGCTGCTCAGTGGATGTCTTTCTTAATCCAATGGCTGGATTTTCAGTGCACAGGTAAAGAGCCATATGTTTCACGGTCACGGTCATTGACTGTACTGGTAGATCTGGAGCACATCTGCATTCTGGGCAGCCCTTCATCAAGTTTGACCTGTCTGGGGCAATGGGCGGTGGTAAAAGATGTTTTGAGACAAGGTGAGGACTGCTGTGCTTTGAGAAAGTGCACTGGTACACAGTGAAAACTTTGGCTCCTTTTTGAAGCCACATTCCATATTGTGCTACAAGTGAACTTGGCAAGCAAGGGTTTGGAGCACCTACTTTGGCAGCTGAGAACTCACACAGCTCTCAGCATACAGCCTATTCACATTAGTTTTGCCACAGAAGCAAAACCTGGAAAACAAAGAGTGCTCTGCTGCCAGGGGATAGGACTGCTGAGGAGCTGTCTTTGGGGAACCCAGGATGACTGGACTCTACATCCCAACAACAAGGTGCCTGAGGGATCCAAATGCAATGACAACTCGCAACCTATAGCATTGGGTTAAAATGCAGACTGGCTGTTTCTCTGGATGTTGGATAAGGGAGTAAAGTCCAGGGAGCATTTGGAGTCTTCTTTGGAAGGGGTGGGAAGAGCCGATACCCTGTTTACCCTTTCTTTGGTGCCTACCCCAGACTTGAGGTTGTCTTCGGCTGCAGCAGCCATGCTCACCTGGGCTTGGTTGGACCTGTGGGCAGCCAGCTCACCTGCAGCAGAACCTGCCAGCCTGCTGATTCCTGGCTCTCTGGGCCGTGTGCTTGCTGATATGCAGAGCTGTCGAGAGCAGAAGCAGTGCAGGCAGCCTGAGTCACATTCCTCCAACTCGGTTTCTCAGCAGAGCACTTATTCCAGGGCTGTATTTCCCCTTGATTGATTACCCCTGCCATTGTGGGGCTGACATCTTGCACAGGAGTCCTGCTCCATCCCTTGTCATGGAAGGACATGAGGAATGATCATTCCCCAGCGACACCCATCGATAACAGTGAATAATAGCTGGGAAAGGAGGCGGATGACAGTAGGAACATGCTCAAGAGAGGTGCTGTAATTCTTGGGACAGGACGCTTCTGCAGAGCAGGAGGAGGAGAGATTGCAGGGTGGACGGGAGGGGGGGTCCTTTCACTACTGATGCTCTCTAGAGCTCAGCAGCTGGAGAGAAACATTGGCTAAGGATGGTCAAAGCTGGGAAGGAGAAAAAGCAAGGAGGGAAAAGGACAAAGTGAAAAGAGCTAGGAGCCACACTGGAGAGTATAAAAACATCCTGCTGACCTCTGATGCACAAGGTATGAAGAAAACAGACTGTCATTGACTATGTGGACAATCTGGGTGATAATCTTCTGGATTTCAACTGTCCCGGTAGGTGTTCAGAGCTATTTATTTGCATTTGCATGGAATCACATGTTGTATGAGTAATTGAACCTCTGTTCCATGAAGTTGTGGTGTGTCTGTTTAAAAAGACCTGTGTAGAACTTGGGATTTTTAAAATTTTATTCTTATTTCTGCTGCTTCCTGCACTAACTGACAGTGCACAGATAACTAGGTGCTGGATGCCTCAGTTTTCCCCACCTGTATAAAGACAACAGTGTTACTAACCTGCTTTGGTAAACATAGCAGATTCTGTGAGGAAGGAAAAAAGATTTGACACCATTTAGGGAAGCTCTACTGATTCACACCAGCAATCAAACCCCTAAGGGGCAATGCCCACCTCTAGCAGTGCCTTCCTGGACTCAGAATGGGGGAATGTTTAACCCACAAAGTTTAGTTTCTTTCTTTTAGGTTTATGATTTGTGGTAGATTGTCACTGCTGATCTCTGGGCTCTCAGATCAGTCACGAAGGACAGCAGAACCTGGGCTGTGGTTTCCAGGTGCTGCTCAGCTCATTCAGATTTTGAAGGCATATAAAACAAAGGGTGAAAGATGTCCAGCTTGGATGTGACAAGTTAGGGAAGGATCAAATCACTGTTTCATTGCAACTAATGGAAAGATCAATTTATTTGTCCCAGCAGGGGATTTGGTTCCAACTCTGAGAAAACCTGAGCTCTGCCTAGATATTTTAATTGCAGAGTGAATGAAGTCTGCAAACTTTTTGCCTTTTGATCATCTCCTACAATAAAAATAGTGACTGTGATGGTTTTCTTGTAATTTGGGTTTCTTGTTCTTAGTTCTACCTAAAGGACTCTGTAAATAGATGTCATTGCTCAGGGTGTCACCAAGAGCACCTCCTTCTGTTTGTTCTTTTTCTAGCTTTCAAAACACCTACTTTGATTCTGTCAGGCATCTTTTGTTCTTTAAATCCTCTCATTAAACGAAACCTACTTATTCTCAAATGAAATGGCTGTGAAATTTGTGGCTGCAAATATAAATAATAAGTAGTGTTTAGATCCATTCATTTCACAGTTTAAAACCTGTAGTTGGCTGTTGCTATCAATATTACAAACTGCAGCTTTTTACCTGTTCTGGACATTGAGTTATCACAGCTATTTCTGTTTGGAATGAGTTTGGTACCTTCTCTTTAAGCATAATATGAGGATGTCTTGTCCCCTGCCTTGCTGGGATAGAGTTAATTTAGTAGCTGGTAAAGTGTTAAGGACATCAGAACTGCTTCAGGGAACTGTTTAGGAAGAGACATAGAAACAGCACGTTTCCTCCTCGATTTCCAGCTGCGGGGGAGGCTTTTTGCTCCCACTTGTGAATAGTAAACACGAGTGAGACTGAGCACAGCTGGCAGCAGAGTGGGGTTTCACATCGCTCAGCAAACATCCGCACACTCACACCCAGCCTGCCTGGTTGGATGTCAGTGTTGGCAAAGACTGGCTCAGGGACAATGTTTGTGGAAAGCAAGGGTTTTAAACCATCACCTGAAGGCTTCTCTGCTTTCCCAGGGCTTAAAATCCTGTTACCTGCACATCTATTGCCAGGCAGTGGTATCTAGCTGATCAGAAGGGCAGGGTGGATACCACTTTGTGGGGTAAAACAGTAATTGTAAGGCATTAACTATGCCATATTCCTGCTTGAACAACACATTTTATGTGAGAAAGTAATGCTGTATCAGATCATCAGGGTGGTCCTCACAGCTGAGTGTGCTAAAAGCGTGTGGCCTCGTTCTAGCCATAAAGAAATAACACAGACTTTAAATCTTTCTGGAACAAAAGCTTTCTTAGGACCTACATTTCTTAAAAGAAAACAGTGCCCACGCAATGTAGAGGCTTATTTAAGATGAAGTGTTCTCCTGTTTCTGAGATCGTTAACATGACTCCTAGCATTTATTTTTACATATGTTCAGTATCATCTTAACAAGCCACATGCAACCCAGACAAATTGTGTTGGCCACTTCAAATGCTCAGCACTAATATTGTTTTTTAACATATTTTCAAGGCAACTTTGGGCAGTAGAGTATGTTATAGGACTTAGCTGTCATACTTGTACTTGTGAAGTCTGAAAATGTAGTAAACTGCTTTACTACTGGGAAGCAAATAAAAATAGAGGGTGATAAATAATGTACATTTAAAAAAAAAGATCTGACAATATTAGAAATTATCAAATTCATCCTTCAACTAACAAATGAAACTATTAAATGCAAATACATTTCTTTAGACATATTAGTCCAGTCAGACATTTCAAAGATTAGGTGGATTTTAAAATTTATTTTTTTCCAAAGATTACATGGATTAAAAAGGCATCTAAATCCTGGCATCAGAGGATAGTTTATTTCATCTGAATTCTTTGTATGTGTGATTCCAGAAAATTCATTACATTGTGCAAAACCAAGTGGTTTCTAGTTTATTTATTTCATGACACACGAAGACAAGGGAGAGGGATGCTGAATTTAAACACACCAGACCAATTAGATGAGGTATGATACATTGCTGAAAAGATCAAACTTTGTTCAAAAATACAATACCCAGAAAAATTCTAGCCAAAATAATGGGAATATGGTCTCTGATGTTTGTTAGGCTAAAATTTAATTGTAGAAAAGTAATAGTTCTCATTACAAGGTTTTCAGGGATCATTCTCTATCCCAAATCTAATCTGAAAGTGATCAGCAATGCTACAAGATGGATTAGGTTAAGCAGGAGTATGATGCTGCCGGGTTAACTTTTCCTAAAAAAAGGACATAAAAAAGTTCTATCTGATACTTTTCAGCTAATAGATCCTGATGACTGGCTTTTAATCTTTTCAATATGTGTACATATACGTATGCATATATATATATATATACACACATATATATATATGTACATAAAAGGTCCATAGTGGGAATTTATAAAGATTTTTGGGTTTATTCACGAGGGAGGAATTATCTAATTTGTTATAATGAAAATCCACTTATATTCTGTGTTTTTGTTGTCAAAAAGAATAGAAACTGATAAAATAATAGAAATGGTAAAAGTACTTTTTTTCTGCATGATACTGGGACCTTGTCCTGCAAATAATTTTGCAATGATTTTCAATATATATAATTTTAATGGTCTGTAGTTGTTTGATATTCACTTATTTTGGTCTAGCTACATGAAACATAAACACACATTTAATTGTTACATAAGGATTGAGTGAACACTAACATTATTTTATGAGAAAGGAGGATGGGAAGGTGAGAAAATGACCTCAGGACAAATTACCATCTAAGTTCTCATGAAAATCTGGGTGAGATTCTGCTTTCTGATGGGTTTCTGCAACTGGTCAGTAGCAGTAAAACAGGCTCGGGTGGTCTGCAACAAGTGGGCATATTTACCTCACTTGTGCCCAGGAAAATAACCTGTCAGATCTATGGTTTAAATTGCCAGGGGTGAGTAATTAATTCTCTGTTACTCTAAGAGACTCCAGCAGTGTCCTGGATTCCTGCAGTCTTTGGGAAGAGCATCCTGCTCATGTACTTATTTAACAGAATAACACATTTTTCTAGATATCAGTAATGTCATGAAAAGAGAGAAGACATAAACTCAGTTTGTGCTTGCCTGCTGCTACTATAAAAATGCAGACTGAATTATGAAAATTGACTGTATTTCAAGGAAACTGTCTCTATTTCAAGGAAATCTTGCCCTCAATCAGTTGATAAATTTGCATGGGGAATGTGAGCATAAAACGGGAAAATTCTATTGAGATGATAGAAGTTGTAAGAGGAAAAGTGATTACACTGCTTTTAAAATTTGTAGATCAAAGCTGTTCCACCTATCTGTGACCTCCTGAGCGTCCTGAAAAGGGAGGAAGAAAAGTGTGCTGAGACTCTCTCCCTGGAGGCACAGAACAGAACGACTGAAAATGATCTGCTCCTGAGCTCAGGTAAAGGCTGAACGAATGCTCTCAGATGAGCTGGGTGGCCTCAAACTCAGATACCTTCACATCCCTCCCCACAGGAGGCATGCACTTTGTGTGCATGTCTCATTTAGGAGCAGAAAAACACTTAAGATCTGTTATAAGCCTTTGAGAGTGGGATTTTGACTCCTTACTGTGGCAGCAAGAGTTGTAGGAACCTTCTAATCCAGTTGCTCAACTGTAGTCTTCACAACTAGGGAACACACCAGCAACCAGGTCTTGCAAATTGCAATCAATCATCACATCTTGGACAAGGATAATTTACAAAGTCACCCCAGTAAGCACAAATTTACTTAACTGTATTTGCCTTAAAAATCAATGAAGACCAGCAGCCAGCATTTAAATCACATGTCCTGAAGGTCCTCATTGCTTCCTCCTTACTCTAACTTACTGCCACATAACAGAGTTCTTGCACTTCAGTGAGGATTTATCATCATATAAAGGAGTATTTTGGCCTGGGAAGGTTTTGTGGTACTGAGTCCTCATCATGTAGACAGCTTTCCTTTCACAGCTGAGCAAGTGTGTTCATGTGCAAGGGGTCTCAGAGAAATAACTGCAAGTGATTATTAAAGCTTGCCTATGAACTGAGTGTCAGTTGCCCCAGGCAGCAGCTGGGTCAGCGTCTCACAGGGTGCACTGTATGTATTTTTTGTACATTACCAGCCATCAGCACTGAGGATGGGGTTGTGTCATTCACAGCATCTCACAAACTGAACTACTTCAGTGGACTTCTGCAGACCATAACACGGCAAGGTCCTCACCAGAGTGAAAAGTGAAGGAGCTCCCATGAGACATGCTGTGTGCAGGGTGTCCTGGCCAGAGATAAGCTAGAGTTGAGGTTTTTTCTTAGTTTCAAAGCCTTCCTCTCTAGGAGTGTTGGAGACACAGAACCGTTTCACTGTGACCTGGCCCAAAGGCAGGACTCAGAGGGAAGATGTATCACCTGGTTTCTTAGGATGCTTAGCATTTTTCTCTGATCTTGTTTTGTCCCTGTGAGCCTTGTAGACTGATGAGTGTGAGCACAGCTTCAGGGCATTGCGCCCCTGTAGCAGTGACAGGGTACCCTATGGCAGATACTCCACAAGACAGATCTGTCTCATTGCCTATAAGAAGTTTGATGATATGAATAAATCAGTATTATTTGTTTCCTTCAGCAAAGAGGAGGGTGGTTTGTCAACCTATCTATTCCTCTGCTTTGGTCCTCTGACATGGCTCCACTGTTTCCTTTGCACCAGAGCTCCATAGATGCAGACAAGTTAAACTTCACAGGACTGTGCAGATATGGACCAGCACTAGCATTAGGAGGCAGTCCCATTTTACAGATGGTCTTATTTTATCTCGGCCAAATACTATCTCCCCAGCAGAGACTTAATCCAGTTTTAAGTTGGATCCACATCTTAAAATTTCCCTGAGGCCTCTCATTACTAGGAATTTTTTAACAGGATACTTCTACCTAAAATTCTACTGAACCCTAAGACGGGTTTTTTACTTGGATAAATTAGAGAGTAATACTTTTATTCTGTGTAATAACACATTTGAAAATACCTCCAGCCTTTAAGTATCTGCATGTCTGAAGTGCATGTGCAGAAAATCCCACACAGGGACTTCAGTTTGAAGAAGAGAGGAACAAAACTCTGGGATTCAGTGCATGCCCTTGGTGGGTCATGCAGGGAGGGAGAAAGGTGGCTTTGCAGGGTGTGGGTCACCTTCCATACCCCATCTGTCCTGTGCCTGCCCCAGAATCTTTGAGTGGTGCAAGCAGGGGACAAGTTCCCACCATGCTCCCACCCACATCTCTGCTGCAGTGCTCACATCCCTGTGAAGATGGCACAAACACACAGGGTTCATTGCTGGTGAATCGGGCACAAAGTACCTGAGCATTAAGTGTTTCTTATCCTGCTGCAATATAAAGGAAAAGGGACTCTGCCCTTGTGATACTACGACCCTGGTAAAGGGCGTAGTGTAACATTAAAGTAACCCAAGTCACAGTTATGCTCTTTTTTGTGCATGAGTGAAGACAGGATAATTCTCTTGGGAGCACGGCAGGGAAGCTACTGGAGATCCGGGACCTCTGATCATGGTGACACCATGTATTGCTGCTCAGGGAATGCTCTGTTTGCTACTTTAGGTAGATCCCAAAGAGCACAGGGATGTCAGGGAGGTGTTGCTGTGCTTTGCCTCCACCCCAAGGCTCTTCAGCTAGGTAGGGATGGGTCCACGAGGAATGGCAAGAAGCCCACCACAGGAGGAATGGCTCCTCTGGGGTTTGTTTTCTCCTCCTGGATAGAAACCACCCCAACATTGTAGTTTTGCCAGGTTTTCCTGTGCACTGAGTCTGATTTGGGGGCTTTATGCCAGTGGCATTGGCAAAGGTTTGATAACCCAAACAATGCACCATGTCAAGGCATAAATATCACCCAAGGTGATGTTTTGTTTGCCATTAAACTGTTGCTTTGAAGTAAATGGTTACCAAGTCCTACAAACATTGGCACAGGGAGAACACTAGAGCTGTGTTTTCAGGCACTGTCATGCTGGAGGAAATCAATGCATTTCTAGAAATGTAAATATTTTTGTCAGGCTAATGGGAGGCTGGGCTTATAAAACATGAAGCGTTTGAGGAGGTGCTTGATCAGCATTTCCTCCCCTCAACTTTCAGGGAGCGTGCGGGGCAGACGGCACATGTCTGGGTACACCAGGAATACGGTGGTGCTGGCGTGCTCCAGCGGCCTTTTTCTTCCCCTATCTTGTTACAAAACCCACAATGAAAGCTGTGCTAAAACCAAGGATGGAGAGTGGAGGCAAAAGGGAATGAACCTGAATGATTTCAGTCTATATCTGGAAAAGAGCAAAATAACAAATGGCAGGATTGCAGTTTCTCTGTAGTACAAAGAGCATGAAGTGTAGGTCTTCTCTATTAACACTCTGCACTGCAGGCCAAAATTCATCCATGCCAGATGCCAGCACCTAAGCAAGATATTCAAGTAGAGATCCCCATCATGCTGTGCTCCACTGACCATTGGATCAGCTCCATCTCTACCAGCCCTGCCAGAAGGCAACACAGTCAAGCCAAGGGTGCAACTGGAAAATTTTCCTTCTCACCCTGACTGTGGGAGTGGACCATGACAAACCCATCCTTAAAATAAGCAGCCCTTGCACCTAACTGGGGAAAACAGGGTGAATCTAGGCAGCCAAGCCCAGCAAGCGGTCTGTTGGCATTATTCACATCAGCACAGCCTTGGCATAAATGAAAGAGAGGACTATTTACGGTGATAAAAGAATGACATTGATGTTGTTCCTCACTTTCCTTTCCCCAGTATAATTCTGAAACTGTTTAAACTCCTAGTCACAGAATCACAGAATCACAGAGTGGGTATGGATGGAAGTGATCACAGTGGGTCATCTGGTTCAACCTCCCTGCTCAAGCAGGGTCATCAAGTTGTATTTTTTCCTGTTTACAAAAATATTATGTAAGGAAGCCATTAGGGTGACTCAAAGTGGAAGCTTTAGAAAGACTGAAAGCAAGCTAAAAAATTCACATGTGGTTTCCTTCATCTTCCCAGGGCCACTCAATAGTTTCCAGAAAAGAGATGGGTAGTCAAGGGCCTGATGTGAAGTTCATAATGACTCAAGTTGCTCTTTGTGTGTCTAGGAAAGACCAGTGGAGTCAAGGACCAGAAAGGGACAGGTCTGAAGGTTGCTGGGGCTGGTTTGAAGCAAGCAGGACCTATTCTGTCCTATCCAGGTCTCAACAGGTCTCAGCAGGACTTGCTCTGTCTCACCCAGCTTGCTTTTCAGAGTACTGAGCACCTTTGTTCCTGTAGCTGCCCTGGTCGTGGGGAAATGTTGCATGGTGTTGCATTGCTTGGAGATGTTTTACAGTGTTTTGTTGTTGGAAGGAGTTTCACGGTGTCACATCACTGGGAGATGCTGATGGTATTTCACTGTTGCCCCCCCAGGCAGGTGTGCTGGAATGTGGGATAACATGAGTTGCTGGCCTTCATCCACTGTGGGACAGACTGTCAATGCTCACTGCCCTGAATTCTTCCAGATGCTGACTGGGAAAAAAGGTAACACTAAAATTATGTTTTTCCTGCCCAGGTGTTTTTTATTAAACTGTTATTTATGAAACACTTTATTTTTTATTTATTTACAAAGATGCCACTGTCAGGTCTGAACTTGAAGTGAAATTTTGTCCCTGCTTCCTTCAAAGAACAATGGCCAGTTAGCAGCTCAGTTTCCAACACTAAGTTAAATATGGAAAAGCCTGGAATTATAGTAGCAAGATGTTTTAAGTGTTTATTTTTCTTCGCCAGGTGGAAAAACGTACAGGAAGTAAATGCTATCCTGAAAAGCAGGCTTTTTTAGCATGGTTTCTCAAGGGAAAGGGTTTTCTCCACTTAGATTCTGTGTTTATTTCTGCTTTCCCCTTTTAATAACTCTTGGAGCCAATGGATGATCTCAGCTGAGCTTGATGGGGACAAAACCTCACACAGCATTAAGTTCACACAAGTTTTGGCAAAACATCCAGCCAAATAGGCAGAAAAGATCCCTTTTTTGCCCTCATCAAGAGGAAATCTGCACTGGGAGTTTATCCTTTGGCTCTGACAGGCTCCACACAAGTGGCACAAACTCATGGAAACTCAGGTTTCATGGCTCACCAAAACACTCAAGTCAAACCGAGATGAGCTCAAGCAATGCTTGTCCTTTTCCTGGGACTTAAGCTAGAAATGAAATGAAATTTATTCCCTGTAGGCTACAGTAATAATGAGCTATTAAGTAAGCCTGCTTTCTGTTCATTTCTAGTTTTCAAGTAATGCCTAAGAAATGTGCTTACCTTTCTCTTTAGCAAGTTAATGATTCCAATCAGAAGAGAGTTTTGCATTCTTCAGTTATAGGGCATGGATTAGTGAGGTCCAGTACTTACAGAAAAGCAGACAAATTCATTTTATGAAGGGAGGAACAGGAGACAAAGTATTAGATTGTCTAATAAAGATTAGATAATTCAGAAGAGAAGCACTTAGTGCTCTTTAAATAAAATCAGACGTGAGCCACTCAGATTAAAATAAATACCGTGCTACTTTCTGTACACACGAACAGTATCTGCCCATTGAGCCCTATAATTTGGTTTAAAGACAAAGAATAAACTACACAAAGGCACAGATCGCTGAAGAAATCATCCATCTGACATTCGCTCACAAATCTTTAGTGTAGGGATACCGGCCCTTAAACGAAATCCCTGCTGGTACGGCCACTAGAGGGAACTGCTCCCTGCTTCTGGCCTTCCTACCAGGGAGGAAAGCAGGAGTTTGTACATCCAAAGGTCATAATTACATCTCAAATGTTCACTGCGTTATCTTGGAGATAGTCTAACAACTTACACTTTAGTTGCCCTCCTTAACGAGAAGCTGAGAGCTGAACCACTTCTGATAAACAACAGAGTGACAGTGTTCAAAATAGAACCCCAAGATGTCGTCCATTGGCATTTGCATCTTATTTCTGGCTCTGCATCTGGCATTTTGGGTCAAAATCAGCAATAATTTATCCTCATTCTCATGGCTACATTCTTCGTTGACTTTATACTGTGGTGGGCTTGCGAGTCCTGCGTTTAATTACTGCTACAGTCATCGCTCTGTTTGAAGCAATTTTGAAAAAGAATCTGCTTGCTTCAAAAGAAAAGCAAAAGTTTTCTCTCATGACCACTTACAAAGCACATGGGCAGCCACAAATGCCAAAGGCCCATAGGTTAAGCCATGTAGATGGCTCTGAGCGCTGCCCAAACCCTGCTCTCTGTGCTGTTGAGTTTTGTTCGGACATCTAGACTTGCATTTGCAGCCCAAACTGTCTGGTCCCTTCCCACCTAATAGACCAAAGAAACAAAATTATCTGGAACCGATTAACACAACTGAAGTTCACATCCAGACCTGCACATTGTGTCTCAGGCAAGAAAGGAAGGAAGGTGTGACAATCGTGAGGATTCAGAGGCAGAGAAAGCCAAATCTGATGGCCCCGGTTCCTCAGCCATCTCTTTAGCCAGAGTTCCCCTTTGCCTAGGCAACTTCAAAAGCCTCACATGGTACCAGTAAACACCAAGCACTGATCCTTTAACAGCCTGCAGACCCCAACTCTGCTCTGAGTAGGGCACGCTGCAGTTTCCCCAGTGTGTGTGTCACCCATAAACAAGGAGCACTGCTGAAATTTTGCTCATGTCCACCCCTATAACATGCCTGGCATCATCTCCTGTGCTTTGCATATAATGAAATAGAACACCAACACAAAACTTCACACCTTCTTGTCTGATCTGCTTGGACAGCCTCAGGCAAAAACCAGTTACAGGTGTGTTTGCAAGTACAGTGCTCTGCTCGGGGTTAAGTATGCTGTGTCTTAGTAGTTGATGCTGAAGTGGAGAATCTGTCACCACATCACTCCCTTGTTGAGTGCCAAGGCAGGCTGGGGAGGACTGTTTGGGAGAGCCGTTTCTTTCCTGTTATTGTTGCATTGCAGCAGGCACAGAAAACCTGCCTTATAAAGCAAACCTGGCCCTTTCAAAGATGCTAAGCTGGAACAAGATGTTCAAAACAGAATCAGAACAATAGTCTGATACAGACACACCCAGAGCTCTTCCCACTCAGAGTTCTCAGCATGTTTGCTGTGCCCTACAGGTTTACAGAGGTGAGTTCAAATCAAGTGCAGAGATGCTGTCAGGTCACCAGCATTAGCCCAGAGGTAGCAGGAGCCCTCACTCTGTCCTGACAATCTCAGCAGGGCTCCAAAGAGCATAAACCATTGCCAAACACTGCTGCATATACATCTCCCTCTGTTCCCTCAACACTGTGGGGATGTTTTGCAAGAGCTAGATGCCCTGGAGTCCTCATGGCTAAATGCGTGGGCAAAACCCAAACTTTTATTGTGCCTTCTGGCAAGGCTTGTACTAAGAAGGGCTGCTGATTTCATGTCCCTTCTCAGACCCTGCTAACATTGCAATCACTGTAAAAAAGCCAGGATTTCATTCCATGCTTCTTAACAATGGCTCTTACCTGACAGTTAAATGCGATTAGGACAGTGGGCAGTGGTTTCACTTCTCTGGAATAGTTTCTTTTCTCCTCAGCACATAACCTTCATGCCTGCTAGGGTAATTTTCTTCCAATGAGATTGTCAGGTGTGTAGGGCAGGACTTCCCACTTCCACTTTAGCGCCAAACATTCACATAGATGAGTTTGAAACTATCCTGTTCAATCATATTCAACTTGCTGGGGATCCATCTCACTCTGCTTTAGGAAACTAAAAGTCAGCAGAAGTGGGTCAGACAAACTGCCCTCTGCAAATATCTGTCCGAAAAATGAGTTTGGATTCTCCAAATGCCAGTTTTTCTCCAAAGACAGACGTGTGGAACACAGTTGGACTCAAGCATTCAGTTTTCAGAAATTGAACTTAAATGAGGGTAATCTCATCCTAACCTTTAATTTCCAAGTAAAAAAGGAAATCAACAGTCTAAAAAAATATCTGGTATGGGCTATGTGGAAAAGCCTTTTAGTTTTCATTTAAATCTCACCAAAAATCTGTGACCATCTACAGTTACTTTGTCCCTTTGGAGCATGACAAACCACAGTAAGGAGGTGGGACCATTCAGCAAAATATCAGGTTTACATGGAGTATGAATCTGTGAACAAGTCATGTGTTTGCTGATCTTGGAATAGTGGCCAAGAAACACTAGATGTACTGAGCAGTATTATTTATGTTGCAATTAATAAAAACACATCCATCACAGTCATCCCTGAGTGGGCAAACAATATTATGACCCACACAAGTACACTGGGCAAGTATCAACAGAATTAGCTCAGCTGTATTTCACCTCCAGCTATGCAGAGTGCACTGCCTGGGGGCACGTATTCTCCTGGCTCCTGAAGAAACCCTACATTGTGGTGACTGACCCCTGAGGAGAACAATGATACAATTGGAAATGGTCATACCTTCTTCTGTCTTTTTTTTTAATTGTTACCACACAGGTTTTGTCTACAGAAATTGTACAAGTGAGGGCTGGTCAGACCCATATCCGAGACCTGATATTGCTTGTGGCTACAATGTCAATGACACGACCAACGAGGCAAGAGTGAGTCTGAGTGCCCATGACCACAGATCTGCTGCTTTGGGGCCCTGGGGGAGGAACATATTAAGGAGAGACTGAATGATGTTGTGATCTAACTCAGGTGGGGTTATTGTTATTGGTAGTTTTCAGCATGAATGCTTCCTGCAAATGATCGGAATAGGTTGCTTAGGGTAAAATTTCAGTAGCTGATTTTACAAGAAAATTTAGTCATTAAATAGGAGGACACACCTTTCTCTTGGCATGGGTTAATCTCTACCCCACAGACAAAGGTAAACATGTGATTATGTGTTTCCCTGCAGCGTTTCTATTTCATGACCTTGAAGACCATGTACACCGTCGGATACTGCACCTCCCTCGTGACACTAATCATAGCCTTAGCAGTCCTGGCCTCTTTCAGGTGAGGAGAAACATCCCTGGTTTGTGTTTGGTCAGGACTTCTGGTCATCTCAGCTGACACAAATCCTTCAATTGACTTTCAGGGCAAGTTAAAAACTGAAGTATTCCTGAAAACCTTCACAGAAATCAGTGACAAAATTTATTTCTGAGTTTTGACTCCCAAAAAATGTCAGATCTGCTCATTATATTGTGCTCTCCAGTTCTTTGAAAATGTAGCTGGATGAATGTTCCAGATGGCATTTGCACCAGTTCCCTGCTGAGGTCTTCCCATGATTTCAGCATCCCTTGGGCAGAGCGTCTTTCCCCCTGCTGCTCTTTTCTCCACTTCAGACTGTGGCTAAAACTTTGCTCTAAGTGTCACTGCATTGACTTCTGGCAAGGTGTTTCAAGTTTCTACCAGCAATCTGACAGTCAGTTTATCTTCATGCACCCCTGTAACCTGGAATTTGTACTGTGCTGCTTATTCAGTGAAATTAATTTCCCTTACAGTAAATGTCAGAGCAGCATGTCTGGGTAGAAGGAAACCCAAATACTTTGAAAATTTATATTCAGGCTGCACGGACTCCAGACACAGATTATGTGGTGATTTAGTACAGAAATCATTGCAGGCACAAGTGAACTGTGCTGGCAGAATAAATAAATTCACCCAGGTATGAATAAACACCTTGGGTTTGTGTTGCTCCAGAAAGAGGGAGGGAGGCTAGAACAAGCATATTGGCATGAAATCACAATTTTTCTGGCAAGGTACAGCTTGTTTTAGTACCTGAGTGGAGTAGATGTGACTGCAGCTTTTTAAGGCCTTCCCTAGGATATTCCTCTTGGGAGATGTATTAGCCTTTCTTTCTTTCTTTCACAGACAGAACAACATTGTTTTTCATTTGTCAGTTTAGCAGTACTAAGGATTGAAACCTGCTGTTTACAGTCACAGGCTCCCCACACTGGCAAGGAATGTCACTTCACAGGATCTCTCTCTTTTTTTCACAGAAGACTTCGCTGCACAAGGAACTACATCCACATGCATCTCTTCACATCGTTCATTTTGCGAGCCTCATCCAACTTCATCAAGGATGCCGTTTTGTTTTCCTCCGAAGACATAAATTACTGTGGGGCACAAACGGTAACCCTCTGCCTTCCAGCTTGCTCCACCCCTCAGTCTCCCAGCAGGATCCTAGCAGGATCTAGTGAACAGGGAAGGAAATCTCCATCCCAGCTTTACATTCATCATGAGGGGTTATGGGAGAAGAGAGGTATGCTCTGCCCCTTCTCCGAGAACACATTAAACCCCTATAGGGTCTCACACTTACACTTCAGTGTGAGACCTGATAGGGGTTTGCACTCAGAGAGTCTGGGAAAGGAACTTTCCAAATTTTGAAATGCTTTTGCCTTTTTCTTTTTACTGGCTGCAAAATATTTTGAAAATTTGGGCGTGCAGAGGGGTGAGCAACGCTGGAGATGATGGTCAATGCTTTAAACTAAAAGACAAGAATTAGGGAGAGAAACAAATGTAAGCTTGTTTTGTTTTAACCCACCAGTTTCGCTGGATTTTTGTTGCTGAAAAAGAACATTTTAAGCACATTTTAATTTGTCTTTAGCAACTGTTTTTCTTGGGGAAAAAAAGATTGATAGATACATTTACGTGCTTCTCTAAGGTGATATTAATGTTACTGATACTAAGAAGGCAGTAATAGTGAAACTCCTCTGAAACAGTAATCTGAATCCATGTGCCCATGACACATTCAGTTCTTCTAGTGAGGCAGTTGATTAATGCACTTAGCAGTTCCAGCCCTGCTTTCTTGTCATGTGAATGCTTGTCTCGAGGACACCCATTTAGTTCCCTAATTGCTATAAAATCTCTATTTGCCAAGATTAATTTACAGCTCGCTCTCTCTGTTAGAAGGTAGATACAAACCCAGGCAAAAGCTAATTATCGTCTCTTTCCTCAGGCTGGCTGCAAGCTCACCATGGTCTTCTTTCAGTATTGCATCATGTCTAACTACAGCTGGCTCCTCGTGGAGGGACTGTACCTCCACACTCTCCTGGTTATTTCTTTCTTCTCGGAAAGGAAGTTCCTCTGGTGGTTCATTGTCCTCGGATGGGGTACTGGTTCTCCCTTCAGTGAGAATAACTGGGTTTGTTTTGCCTTTGGGATGGGCTCCTGAAGCAGTAACTAGCTTTTCCCACTGCAGGTGCCCCAGCTGTGTTCGTGGCTGCATGGGCGACTGCCAGGCAGTTCCATGAAAATATTGGGTAAGTTGTATGGAGGGGAGGAAGCTGGCAAACCAGGGAGAGCATGCAGCCTCTGTGCAGGCTGTTCCATGGGATCCTGCTCATTTCTAACTGCTGACAGCCAAGTAAATCAACCAGCATCCCACTCTGGTGGGAGCCTGGATCCTAGTGTGGGTGGGAGTAGCTGAGCAACCTGAGGAAATACATCAAATTCCATTTCAGCATTTTTCAAGGGTAGAAGGTAGCTTTCAAGTATGAATTCAGCTCATGATGTTTTCAGTATCTGTATTTGACTTTCTGAATGATGAAACTGGGTTCCTTTCTCTTTCTCCCTTCCAAAATTTTGAACAGTGTTTGTACTTTACGAGAAGGTCAAACTGCTGTCCAGTGCAGGTGGACAGTTTTCTGTAAGATATGTTGTACCACTAAGTGAGAACGGGAAATTAATTTTGTAGAGAAGGGAATAGGGGCCTATCTGAGGTGCAAAACAGACTAAACCTCTTTGAAAAGACACCAGTGTTTTGATAACTGACTGCACCCTCTCTTCTATTTTTACAGGTGTTGGGACATTAACACTAATGCCAATACCTGGTGGATCATTAGAGGCCCCATAGTTTTGTCTATTTTTGTAAGTCTTTTCTGGGACAAGCAGACTCAAACTGTATTTTCAAATACTGTAAAGTCAGACATCATCTACTTGACATGCTTTAGAAGTGTGTTAATGAACCGATCTTAGACATGTGTCTGAACTGGTGTGACACATAAATTACTGCTTAAGCAGCTTCTGCTCAGCAGGACTTAGTCACTAATGCCCCAAAGCTAAGTTCACAAGGAAAGCTAGAGTGTCCTCCCAAGAAGCAAGAGCCTGAAGAAGATCAGGTTTCCACATCCTGTTGATTGCATATGAACTTGGCTGGCTTGTGGAAGCTTGTTTTGGACTGTTTCAGGGAAGGCTCCAGAGGAGGAACGAGTGGCTGTACATTTCCGTACAAGTGCCTTTATGTGTCCTGGTCAATGCCCCTCTCAGCAAAAACAAAACCAACTTGCCTTACATGACCACTGTCTTTTGTTTTAAGCAATGAACACAACTCACAGACTGCACACTCCACATATCAGTGGACAGCAATTATACTATAATGGCATTGCTCAGTGAATTAAGGCACAGGCATTGAAACTCAGTGTAAACCTGCCCAGTAGTGATGGCAGTAGTGATGGCAAGACCAGTTTGGTGCACATAATACTCAGCAGCTGTGGTTGAATATTTGCTGGTGCTCACCTTCAGAGACTTAGGTACTAAGGGGCTGGAGCTGCTGTTCTGCCCATGGAGATGCTCTGGGTCAGACCACGCTGCAGTGACCTGTCTGAAGCCCTAGTCCAGAAACATGTGAACTGTTGGTTGCTCTTAAGTAACCTGCTGACAGTCTGAGCGAGAACCCAAGAGCAGGTTGAGGTTTTTGCATTGCCAGTAAGAACCATTATGTTTGCAAAACACAAACTGAAACACTTGTACACCCTCAGAAACCCAGGTAGTAGAGATGGTGGGTTAAAGTTCTGCTCTGGTTTACCAGTGAGAAATCCTGCAACTCCACAAGACAGCACAAGTGATATGGGATCAACTTAAGGAGGTCACGGCATTTATTTTTCTTAATGAAACAACCCTCACCCTGGGAGCCACTTTAAATGTCAACAAGACCCAGGCATTCTACAAGACAAAAAGCACAATCTTAGTTTATCTTTTGGCGGCCACCACCTGCTATTGCCTTCTCACTTCCCTCAGAACGCAGATCATGTCCAGTGTAGCCACAGAAGGCAGGAGCCGCCTACATGACTGCCTCTTTACCCAAAAAGAGGCTTTACTCAAGCCCATAACCAAACAAACAGCCAGTTCTTAAGAACACAGATCTAATCTCTGTATTCCTCACAGCCTTCAGCAGTTCAAAGGGCAGAAAAACAGCACCAATAAACACCTTTGTGCTCTCAGGCTCATGCTCATTCCTGTGCTGCCCGCGGGCAATTCCTCCCGGCAGGAATCCCCCGCTCTCCCTTCCCCTGTGGTTTTCATCTAAGAAAAGTCTTGCTCAGCCTACACGGCTCGTGCCTGGCCTAATGGGTTAAAAACCCCAGAATCCCCAGACCCAAACCTCCTTTTCCTCCCCAAACCCCTGAAACACTTCCGTCTTTCCTTCATGCTCCCAACCCCTACCTCCTCCCAGCTCTACTGCTTTCCTCATCCTTTCCCAGCTTCCCCAAACTTCCAGCCTTCTCTAGACACCCACGTAGCCACACTTGCTCTCTTTCCATCCAATAATTTTAGGGAACCCAGGGTCTGTCCCATCTCCAATGGACCTGCTTCTTTTAGGGAAACCCAATAGCCCAGAGCCCTGCTCCAATGTCCACAGAGGAATGCACTTCTGGGATGGTGTTTCCAGGCACAGGGAAGGGTTAAGGGCCTGACGTGGTGCAGGGTGTTGCAAAAGGGGTGCAGGTCTGGGGCTGTGCAAGATCAGCCCCAGGCTGTGCCTTCCCTGCAACTCCCACTCTTTGCCTGAGGGTCAAACGAGCAGAAACAGCTATTGCCTCATCTTCACCCAAACTGAGCAGCAGAGCAGCATTTCTATCTGATAACCACTCTTGGAGAGGGGGAAAATGCAAAAGGAAGAACTCCAGTGTCAATTCTCCTCTCACAACTTTTAACTACTTTGCCTCCATGATCCCAAATCACGCTGAGTCTCTTGGCAGGGAACAACTGGCACTTGCAGTCCCAGTTAGCAAGTGATAGCTCCCGTGCTGCCCCTTTGCTAGCAACCAAAGTGGGTTGTGTCTGAACTCCAAAGCCAGAAGAGTTCCTACCAATGCACCTGGCCTCCCTTCCCGTTGGTGATTTGCCTGGATAATAAGCCCCGATCATGCCCAGAACTAAAGCTACAGCAAACAGGCAGTGAAAGCAGCTAGCACCCAAGCCCAGGGTGGCCAGGTGGGCTGGAGAGGCAGGGACAGAGACTGGGATGTGGACATGGACACTATTTCTGCCTGCTTTGCCCAAACACCCCAAACTGGCTCTGCTGATAGCTGGCAGTTACATAAGTGGATACTGCTTGTGTTGTGTTTGTTTTTGCATTCTTACATTTTTTATTTTCTTTTCAGATTAATTTCATTCTCTTTGTCAACATTTTAAGAATCTTGATGAGGAAGCTCAGATCACCTGAAAGACGGAGCAGTGATTTCAACCAATACAAGTATGTCCCCTACATGCCATGTAAGTCCACCTGAGCTCTTCTTGCTCCTTCTACACCAGCTTTCCCTCTGTTTTCATTCTCAGGAGACTTGCAAAGTCAACGCTCCTCCTCATCCCTCTCTTTGGGGTCCACTACATCATCTTTGCTTTTTTCCCTGAAGATGCAAGCAGCGGCACAATGGAAATTCAGTTGTTTTTTGAATTGGCTCTTGGATCATTCCAGGTAATATCTGACAAGCTATTATTTCTTTAAAGTAAGAGGCAGAACATCTAACTCCGCAACAGAGCAGAGTTCCAGTGGCAAAGCCAAGCTGTCTGATTTCCCTTGAGATGCCTCATCCCCATTCAAAAGCTGGAACTGCAGTTCTGTGACCACTTCTTTTTTATCTTTTAGGGCTTTGTTGTGGCTGTACTTTATTGTTTTCTTAATGGTGAGGTGAGTTTAGTGTGTATAACATTCCTTTTTATTGCTGAAGCATGCCTCATTAATCAGTGGGATACATTCCCCAAAGAATGACATGTTTTATCTGAGGGTTTTCTTCCCAGCTACCTAACATCACTCATGAAATACCTCCTGGACCTGGCAAGCCTAAGTAATTGTATGCCAGATGCAAACTTCTCTCTCAACTATTGCAACCCTTTCATGAATCAGATAGCATTTTTACTGTCTGGGAATGGAGGGTGGGAGCACCATCCTGCACACAGTCACACTGACAACCAGCTGTTTCTGATGTATGGTGCTACTACCTGTCATCCCATGGCTGTTTTCTTTGCTTGATCCTTGGGAGGGAATTTATCAAGAGCTATATCCAGTCCAAATTTATCAGTATTCTCATAAGCTAAAGCTTTTGGTAGAGGGACCATTTCCTCTGTAGTTTCAGGATAACTCCCGGGCTTCTTACACTCTGAAATGCTAAACCATTGCCTAAGAAGAAAAAGTCACTTTGAAATGAAGGAGGGGTTTGAAATACTCTGACCAATCCTTTAACAGGGTTGAGGAAAAGTTGTTTTGAAAATAAAATCTGCCTTTTTTTTTTTATTATTTTACCTCAGAGTGCCAAAATATCCTGTTTTTATAAGTTATAATAAAATTCTGAAAAAATCTAAACCAAACATTTACTAAGGCCAGCTAGGTTCTGTGGACTGTTTTACCTGCAATTAAATAGAAAACTGTGTGGCTGCAGCAACAATATCACTGGAAGCATCAAGAAACAGGCCCTAGCCTAACCCCTTAAACTGAGGGTCAAATAAATAAACCTAAGCCTTGGCACAGGTAGCCCGCTCTCCTTTTCCTGTTACACTGCTCTCCACAGTGCAGGCCTCCAAGATAAACCAGCTGAACTAAGTATTTTGTGACCTTTCTACCTAGGTTCAGCTGGAAGTTCAGAGAAAATGGAGGCAGTGGCATTTAAGCAAACACTTGCGTCAGCACCTCAGCACCTCAGCGAGTAACGGAGGAAGCGGCTTGACTCAAGAGATGCACATGGTGAGGTCGAGCCCACCAGAGCACAGGAGAGAAACCCTCCAAAGATCAAGCGTGCTTTAACACTGTATGCCTGGAGGATCCCTCCATGCTCAGACACACATGGCTAAGTCCCATGGGCTGAGCTGGGAGTCTTGTGTACGTATCCAAAAGCAGGACTTGGCTGTAGGTCAACAGTTCTTGAAGCACATCTGTTCATGTATATCCTGTGTAGCACCACAGTTATTTTGCAAAGCAAAATGAGCCAAAACTCTTCCTTGAGCTTTTGGCCACAGTAATTTGTGTTTCTTTCCACATCGGTATTTTTCAGCTGCTATTTCCACCTTAAATGTGACCTTTCATTTTCCATGTGGCTCTCCAACAGCTTCCAGGCTAATCCAGGCTGGTGAATTTTAGTTGTTCTCCATTTCTTCTGCTGTGGAAGCTGGGAGGACATTCAATTTTAAATGATGAAGGTTACACGTCATCCTTAAACACAGCCTGTGGGTTTGAAATGCAAAATTAACACATACCTAAAATTTATCAAGGTTCAAAGCTTTCTTCCTTTGCCTCTTTTAACAGTGGAGACCTTGGAAACAACAGTGGTTCAATTTGAATATTTGTATCATTTTGAAATGGTAAAAAAGCTGTTATTGCATATTCCAAGAGTGGCCAAAAAAACTTCAGAAAGATAGCTCATTCCTATTGTGTTTGTACCTCTGAGACTGGTCCATTTTGTCTTTCAAGGGAAGAAATGAAAGTACTTGAGATGTTTAAAACTCAATTGAAATGGACAGTAGAACCTGTCTGGTGAAAAAAAATACCATATTGGCTACCAAAAATCTCTTTAGAGTCTCCAATCACCCAGTGTGCTGAAATCTGCAAGACTGTGCACTGTAATATGCTGTCACAAGGTATTGGAGCTATTACAGCTTTATGTTCTAAAGGACATAAACAAGAAATTTCCTGGTTTAAATGGGAAAAGGATAAAATAGTTGTCCGAGAAATGCAACCAAGTCTCCTACTTGATTTTGTATCTGCAGTTTCTTAGTTGGGGCGATTCTTGGCTGGGTTTCTTCAAGGGCAAAGATGACTGAATGGAAAGCAAAGGTGTTTATCTCTTCTCCCTCCTCCCGATCACCTAAAGACATTGACAAAACATTCATGGTATGTCCAATGCTGCCTGAGCGGCATTTCCCAACCCCCTCTGCCAAAACTGCCCTAACGAGCTTTTAATCACACCAAATGCCTACACGGTAGGCTTCTGCCATTTTATCAGAAGGCAAACAAACAGAGAAGTTCAAAGGATGCATTCAAGGTTAAATAACCTGTATACAAGCAGGTTTTTGAGTGCTATTAGCACTGTTTGAAACTGACATTATTCAGGAAATTTTTTTTCGAAGTAGCAAGCTTTCAAGTTGACTTTGTCCTTTAAAACTCAGCCAAAACAAGTGGAAGGAAGAGCAGAAGCAGGATCAGTCCTGTGACCAAGGGAGAAGTAAAAGCCCCTCCATGAACATTTAAGTAAAAGATCTCATTTTTGCCAACTCACCAAGCCAAGCAGAGCCTCCAGCCTTCTCGGGGGTTCACTCTGTCCCAGTGCATTTAGCAAGTCAGATACTTCTGAAAACATATAACCTTAATTTTCTCTCTGGCCTACGAATGCGACCAAGAAGAATGAGACAACTTGTATGTTCACTGTCTGAGAATTAAACATTCATCAATCAAGCCAAAGCAGCTGTTTGTTTTAAATGCAAGTGCCTCCTTCCGGCATAAATGAAGAAATATAGATTCAGAGATTCAATAACATGTAATTAATTAGATCTGATGCAATTATTGGCCCTCCCACAAGCCAGTGTAAGAGCTCAGCCCTGCAGTATGTAGTAAGGACCAGCACAAGTTTGGGGGGAGCCTAGGCTGAGCTTGATACATATTTGTACAGGACCCTGGTGAAACAGGAACAAACCACATGTCCCAGAATAAAATGCTGGTCTTTTGCATTTAAGAAAAAAAGTTCTAGCATAAGCTATTGTTTTACATGGCCATTTTGGTTTTATTTGTCTTGCCTGCAATAACAAAAAAAAAGAGGAATTATTCCCAGATTCTGTATTACACGTTTGCTTCAGGCATTGAGCACAGACCCGGTTTGTGTGAAGAGCTGAACTTCCACAAAAACTCTCGGATGTCAGCTGGCATTCAGAGTCCTCAGCTCTTTGGGAAGAGCATGTCCACTCGGGAAGGAGCCAGAAGCAGGCAGCATTAGGAGTTATGATGCTGTGACCTTGTCCTGGTTCCACCTAGGCGTTGGAAGCTGCTGCCAAATACCACCACAGTGGACTGGGTTCTCACCTCCCCCATCTCCTGCAGGCAGTGCAAAAGCTCCCTGCCCTGCTGAGGATGTTGCTTATTTAACTATGCTGAAGGATACCAGAGAAAAGAGCTACGTAGCTCTGGAACATTGACATGTTTATAAGCAGATGAAAAGGAACAGGAAAATAAATCTCAGCAAGCAGTGCAAAAAGCAGGAGGTAAAGGCACACAGGCTGAACACAAACAACATATTCAGAGTTCACCAGCTTCCCTTTCATTCATTACACTTGCTCTTGAGTATTCAATGTAAAGCAGGTGGGTTTTAGCAGTAAATAGGGGCTTAGTACCACCTTTCACTCAAGTCGTTGTCATTGTTCAGGGACAGCAGTGACAGCCTCTAGCCGTCTATTTCAGGTCCCCTGAGGAGCCAGCTGTCCCTCTGCAAGCCAGCAGGGCAGGCAGCAACTCCAGCAGCCTGAGCTAATCAGCAGACTAAGAGCTAATGAATTTAAGAAGAAGTGATTAATGTATTTTCTCTCCAAAGACAGCAACAAGGAAATTCCCAGCAAAACTATCAGAAGCAAAAAACAGTAGTTGTGCCGTGAATAATTGCATTGTGCAATGCTTCAGTACAGGGGAGCTGAAATGGACTGTTTCAGATGGGGTGGATACAAGTGAAGCTGAGGCCCCAGGAATTCAGGCAACACCCCTTCCAGGACACTGCCTGGGGCAGGCCTTGTTTTCACTCAGAAATGAGGCCCTTCTTGCATCTGCAAGCTGACCTGGAAGGCTGAGAAGGGCCATTATCTGCTTACAATGGGCTTCAGCAGAGGGAAAGAGAAGGCAGCTGAGGACAGTAATCTTCCTCTGATCACGTTCGCTTGACTTGCAAAAGCAAGCAAGGCTCAACCCCATTCCAGGTGTCCTTCCAAGCACAGTTGAAGAAGGTACTGAAGACTTAAAATCAAAATAACATGCTCTAGGGAACCTTGCTTGAGCACAGAGACCGGACTAGATGACCTCCAAGTGGTCCCTTCCAACCTTAACCATTCTGTGATTCTATGAAAATACAGTGCAGGCAGGACACCTCCCGAGCTAGCATGCCCTGTACTGTTAGTTCCTTTTTCTTATCCACAAGCTTGTGCACAAGGTTCCAATTAAAGTTAGTAACTAAGCCTAAACGACTCATTAACAAGAAGTGATGTTCATTACTTGCTTTTAAGAGATGTTAAACTGTTTGAGACAGGCCAATGACCTCTCCTGTTGGAAAGAGAACACCAGGTGCTAATTAACTTGAGATTATATAAACTAATTCAGTGGCATAGCTGGGAATCTGTTTTCCTGACGTTTAACTAAACCTGTCAGTACAATGAGCTCAGAGAAAAATGCATAAATATATTTGTACTCAGATACCACTTCTGCACGCCAAATAATCGGAGCTGGGGAAAAGAGCAAAGATGCTTCAGACATGGGGTGCAGTGTGGGAAAAGGAAGGTGAAGGACACAGGAAAGAGCTCTTTAGCTGGTAAACAGAGCACATGCAACAGCAGGAAATCATTAAGAGCCTAGAAGGTTATCTCCAGTTCCCACGAAGCAGCACAGCTGACTGCTCCTCTTGTTTTGCAAGACACGAAAGCAGTGCTGGCTGCTTGGGTTGGTGCAGACACACTGGAGGGAAAAGGAGAAGGGAGCGTGCAGTGGCCTCAGTTCCCTTGGTCAGAGCTTGGCAAAGTGCCAGGCAGTCATTTCTTCATCAGTCTAGCTGCGTACACAAAAACAGAACGGTGCCTGGGAGATTATGTAAAACCCCAATCATCTCCTTAAATCTTCACCCCGATATCTAAATATAAAAAGAGAGAATTACAGTTCTTATTTCAAATAAAATTTATTTAAGAAACTTTAGGAATATTTCTTGGAACTTCCACAGCCTTCAGAAAATGAACAGTGACATGCTGCTGCACAGGTTGCTGTATATAAGGATGTCTCCAAGACAATCAACCTTGTTTTGTAATATTTAGGTGTCAAAATGCTTCTTCTCCCAGCATAATTAAGTCAAGCAGTACTACACAAAACCAGTCGGGAAAAAAGCATACAAAAGGCCTCTTCTTCAGCTAGTAGAGAGTATCCTAAAATCATTCACAATTGCACCACATCTAGGATGAACTCAATGGCCAATTGTCCACTGCCTCCCTCCAACCCAAACGGGAGGCACCAGCCTGGAACTCAGTCTGGCTATGGCTGCCTTCCAGGGAAAGGGATGGGGGCACAGCCTCCCACTAGTACGAAGGAGCGTACATGCAGAGCTGATTTCCAGTTTTGCATGTCACCAAAGTGGCACTCTGAAGTTACATCCATGTTTCTAGACAAGCCATGGACACCCTTAACCTCATGCAGGGGAACCGTCCCGCCTGGCATGAGGGCCCATAGGCAACACAACTGAATCCCTGGTTAGTTAAGATACTCTTAACATCTGCTAACATCCAAGTGCCAACACCTTGGGACCAGACCTTGCAGGATCTCTCTGGCCTAAATGGCTCTGCTAAAGCCAACAGCACTAGTTTATGCAAGCATCTGCATGTTCAGCCCACCAGCACGTCTTCAACAGTGCAGTTCAGCAAATCAAATGCAACTTCACAAACACAGTCACAGTGCAATTTTCCAGAGGCAGGTTAAAGGCACAGAGGGTCAAGAAACCCCAACAAAGCCCCAAACATTACAAGAGCTTCAGGAGCTCTCTGCGTAATTCCTGACAGAAAGACAAGTAGATTCACATACAGAAGTACAACTGGCACTGTCCAGAGCAAGCCAGGTCTGAAACTGC